AATAAAAGTCACAATAAAGTTTAAATGAAGAGGACCTCTGAAACTTCAAAAGAGATGGTAACCAGTGGCATTTCTGAAGCTTTTGCTAAACTTCCATGCCTTGCCTGTGTTGTAAACTAGCTTTAAGACTATCCTAAATAAGTGAAAGGCAAATTATCTAACACATACAATCAGATGTAGTATCCTTGCCCTGGAGGGGGTTAATGAAGGCAGATGAAAAATAGATACTATATCTGGATAGTAGAATAGAAACACACCTTCCTGTGGGTGTATATTTAAACAAATTGTTATTCGTACGTACGGTCCAATACTGGTCCTAAACCCGATCAGCCATAGCTGTGAAGTAACTCAATTAATTATGTTTTATTAAATTATATTTGGAATATTACCCAGACAAATCTGTGCGAGTTGGTATACTTTCGATTTCCACCAATTCAATAGAGATTCACGCATGATCTGTGAGGACGGTTCCTGCAGGCCATTGTTCAATATCCAGTAAACATTATAATATTTCATAAAGGTTAAAATAGTTGGAATGCTAAGAAGCCTTTGAGATTTTATCTTATAAGACCAATACTATAGTACTGTACAAGGACTGATATCAAAATAATGTGTTATATATGTCTGTTCAAGTACTTGAACAGAATACAACAGCAAATTACGGAATCTATATTCCTTAGAAACTACAATCAACAAATCAATGTAATATAGATCTATGGGTCCACCTGGATAAGTGAAAAATTAGACCCAGGGCCTGGTGAGAAGTGTCCTTCTTTTCTGGTTTTTTGAGGTTTTGGGAAAACGTCAGCAACGTGGAGCAGTTAAATAGCTATGGAACCAGAAAATAGAATGACTTTCGGTCGCCCAAAGTTATTTGGACGCCTGACGGTATGGACGACGCTGAATGTCATATACTTATCAGTTTTCAACCACTTTGATCCAGTTGAGTCCTGTTTGGAGGAATGAACGAGCATCTGGGGTTATTCATGAACTTAACTAGGGAATGTGGACAGGGGTGCAGCTAGAAATTCTGGATAACTGATTATAGTGTTTACAGGATGAATGAATATTATTATAATTCTAGACTATGAAGTTTACAGGTTTTTTTCCCATATATATATATAAGTTGTTTATCGGTGTTTGGTGTGTGTGCTGCTCAGGACAGGATGTCTGCATCAGAGAGTTGAGGAACGCCCAGCGTAAAGCGGTGTACGCGGCCTTACTGCGAAAAAAAAAAAAAAAAAAAAAAAAAAAAAAAAAAAAAAAAAAAGAAAAAAAAAAAACCTTCTTACAGATGACCACCCCACCCCAGATTGACAGATGCCCCACCTCTACATGTACTATATAGTACATGTAAACATGCCTGCCCGCACACAGATTATTATGTGAATCGAAGCAAATACCAACTCCCACGTTTTGTAATATAATTTATAACAAAATGTGGGAACATTTATTACACATTAGTTTCAGGCTATTTATTGACATTTTTATTAAAAAAGAGCCAGATTGTTACAAAATGCGGGTGTTACACTGTGTTATTACATCATGTACCATTACACACATTGTATATGATAGTTCTTAAAACAGTGGTTCCCCATCTGCGAGTATGCACCCCTTAGTTTTCACAAGATACATTTAAAATATATATATCAGATAAAAACTAACACTTTATTTTTATGGGTAATGATTTCTTAGGATGTTTCCTGGAAAGAAACTACGCAAGTTTGTACCGACTGTAAGAAATATCTGGGTTATCTTGGTTAGGATGTAGTTTATCGTGTCTTACTGGGTCTATATGCAGTTTCTTTCCAAGGGAATTTAAACCCAAATAAATATCCATTCATTATTTATTACTTTCAACTTTATTCTTTATATATGTTTTATTGGAAGCTTGTCTGTAAACAAATTTCACATGAATGTTCAGCGGACCTGCTGTGCACCGTCTAGACTCTCCAGATTATCCTAGTAACTCATTGCAATTTGTCAGTAAAACCACGTGTCTAAACTATTTTAGTTCTAATTAATCACACAACCTTACAACAACCTTCATAGGACATTTTTACAAAAATGACGTGTTGTTTTTTTTCCAACTTTTCCTAAAATCTACTCCATCTTACTGAAATGATCTGAGTAGTGAATAGCATTCTTTACTGAACTGCTCACAACTCACATAGATCTGCAACCTGTAATGGGGGATCACAAGTCAGCACTGCCTGGCTAATGGGAAAGTCACAAGCCAAAGCGAGTTAAAAAGACCGTTCTCTTGCTCATATTAATAAATATTATTTATTCTTCTCTGTCTGACGTCATAGCGAGAGAAACAAAAAGAGACCAGAAATCTGCTAAAGTAAGAAAAGCTTGAGCTAGCACTCAATTCTTAATCTGTACGTGTGGTCTGGTGTTTGTTTGTGTCTGTGTGAGTATGTACTCTGACCCAGAGGCTCTTTTGGAATAAGTTCTCAGGTGATAAGCCACTTATGGGAGTTGGTGTTTGCCCTTTGGACTCTCTAATCTATTTGGCAATGCTGGATGGCTCAAATGAAATGACAACAAAGATTAAGCCACGGGCGAGAACTTGGGGGATCCCAAACTGCTTCTTGACCCGCTAAACATGATTAGAGAGAAGCAGCGGCCATGCTTGATCTAGAGGGATTGCTGGTTGGTGTGTATTTTTTTTCTTCCTTCCTCTTGCATGCTCCTATATCCTCATCCTTCCCCTACAGATCTTCTCCAGGCCTGAGATTTCTCCCAGAGTCATAAGTTTTAATGCGATTCTTCACCTCACCTCTGCAAAGCCCATGTAATTGGTACGCATCAGATATCCAACATCCCTTTTCAAACACCCTTAAATGATTTCATTTGCAGGGGTGTTTAATATTACATTTTGTCGACACGCTGGGAGTGAGCGGGTGAATATCTGCAACGAGGAAGCTGTCCTAACACTGTGCTCTCCTTAAATTAGGTGGTGGTCCATTTGGAATACCAATGACTGCTCACGCTTTTAATTAGCGCTCTTATGTCATGGACAATAAAGAGAAATGCTGAACAAGAGAAAGAGGAAAGAAGTAATGAGAAGGCTAATGGTGAAAATGATCCCACATTGGCTTTCCTCTTTTTGTGCCAAGACAGAATGAATTTTAATAGTCTGTAGCTTCCCTCTTTGATGCGAAGCTACAGACTATTAATATTTTGTCTTTCTTTGCAGAGACTTGAAGGACAGCTAGGGTCCAATATTTTCCATTTTATTAATAAAAGATGATCTTTGTTTATTGTGAATCTTGTTAAAAACATCAAAAACATTCCACAAAAACCTGGGTTCAAATGTTAGGGAAAAAAACACTGTAGCACGGGCACTTTTTTAAATTACATGAAGAGACACAAATTCCTAACCAGTTGCCTATTTTTGTTTTCTCCCATTTTTCCCTACGATAAGCATAGTTGTCCTTTTCACAGGATGACCTTGTTTGCTGTCTCCTTGCAACAATATAACCATTACTGTGTATAATCAGCTACTTAAGCTACTCAGCTAAAATAATATTGGTATTATCTGGTGAAAAACGACAAACTAAAAACTGGTGAGGCTTAAACCTGCATTCATTGATTTATTTTTTTTTGGCAACCTAGGGGCAGTGCAAAAACGTTTTAACTTTGCCTATTTGCCTATTTACACATCGAGCAGACATATAGCAACAATAGCATGTAATTTGAGTCCTTGGTCTAGCCAGAAAAACAAGGTAAATTCAAAATGTACTTTCCTTTTAGCTCTGTTTTGCTCTCCACCAAAGCCTAGAGTAGTTGGCTGCTAAAACTTCCCATTTTTCACTGAACTTTGTCTGTCTATGGATCGAGTGTTTGAGTTTATCAGAGCTTTTGTGAAAACAAAACAATGAGCTAAAAGACACTTAAAAGGCTTAGAGCTAAAGGGGAACTGCAGAGTCAGGTAATAGTTCTCTGTTGGTTTGTTGCTACAACAGACCTCTGTCACGTTACAGATCATTTATCATCATCATTGTCATTTGATCCAGTGTTAATATAAAAATATTGAGTTGTGTAGCTCATTCCCACTCCTGTTGGTGGTGGTGTTTCTCTTAGATGGTTAACCGGAGACATAAGCCCATGTCCCAACCCTTCCTCAGTAACTTTACTTCCCCAATAACTGAAGCTGTCCCTCTTTCTAAACTGTTCCTTGTGTTCCCTTCCACTGTGAGACCCGACCACCCAGAGGAAATGCCCCTTTCCGCACATATAATTGCAATAAACTCCTTTTTAAACCAGGATGCAACTTGTAGACATGTCTGCTGGCAACAGTTGCCATGGTAACCCACAAATGCAGTTCTCATTGCTTTGTTTTGTTTCCTTCTGACTCATCATTGAGTGAGGGGAAAATGGCACACAACAAGTACAGGGGGTTGGAAAAGTGCTCCATGAACTGTCACTTGGAAAGTTTTTAATTGGGGCTGAGATCCTTTGCGGGTCGGGCAGTTTTTTTTTTTTTTTTTGTGAAAGCTGCTGTGATGGGACTGCCCTTTTGTGTGTTGTTTTGGTTCCATCAGAACGATAAAGACATTTACAACAGGCTATTTATATGGGAAAATCTCACCATGTACCCAGTGGCATGTGCAAATGCACACTTTTTTCAGCTTCATTACCCTTACACAAGTGAAAATGGTCCTGTGGTGCTGTGTGTCTCAGTGGACCAAGCGTGGCCATAGCAATTCAGCAGGTGCCCAGACTGAAATGTTTTCACTCCTTCACATGTAAAAGTGACAGAAATCTGGTGCTTTGTCCTTTATTTGTCAAACTAGCCTCATGTGGTCTCAAAGACTGCAATCATTTATCTCTTTTCAGTGTCGCAAACCACATGAATGTATCCACACGTGACACTTTAATGTGCTTTCCCACATGAAACGCATACAGTATTGCTGAGAACAGACAAACAGGGACAGTAGGGTTATATTATTGTTGGTGAATTGTAAACAAAATTCTGCTATTAACCCCAAGATTTTCTTTTATCTTGCTCAATTGCTCCTAGGTCTTTGTTAAAATGGGTTTGTAAATTCTTGTATTAGAAAATGATGAATTCAATCAGGCACAACCTCCTGGGTGCAACAAGTGCATAGTCTTTCTTTCCCTCGACAGACTTTTAATGTTTGTTTTTATTAAACTAGGTTACTCAGAGCTTGTTGAAAGTTCAACAATCAACACACGTCCTTAAGTAGGTTGTAGATCACACATTGCACATGTTCATCTGCGCTAGTAAAAGTCCTTCACAACATGCTTATGTGCTTATGTAAGTGATGCCTCCTCAATCTAAGTGCCACATTTGATACACTAGATAACACAATGCTTACAGTACATACATTGAAACATTAAGGATATATTTTCCTACCTATTTAATTAAAAGGGAGACAGAATTTTGTAAATATTGGTGAACATGTGTATGCTCATCATATTCCTAATGGTGTTCCACAGGGTTCAACACTTGGTCCACTCTTTTTTTCATTATACATGCCTCCACTCAGCTAAATTAGAACACTACATGATGTAAATTGTCATAGCCATGCTGACGACACACTGCACATATTGCTATCGCCCAATGATCCCAACGGTTTAAATTGTTTAACAGACTGCCAACTGCCATGTGCAACAACATTATAAGTTATTCATTAGAAAACTGAAGTTATTATAGTAATGGGTGCTGATTCTAAAGAAATAGAATAGAAAACATTAGCAGTATAAGCTGCCTGGGTACACATGGAGGAAAGAATATGGGTTCAGCTGTTCAACTGTTTTGGCAGGAAAACTGTGACTGTCCTTTGTTCTTAATGTATTCCCTATTTGATCAAGCCAGACCACTATGGGATATGACCTGGCATATCAGATTCAAAATCCTATCTGGGAGCAATGAGACCAGTCAGGTAATGTGTCCTGGTGTCAGATTTAAAAGGCACTACAACTCAGGATAGTTAGTTTCTCTTTTTAACTTGGGTGACAAATAACTTAATGATTTCTGGTATCTGTGCTCTCTAAATCTGTGTCAAGACAGCCTTTTCACAGCTCATGGCCCCACATTTCCATTCACAGCTGCTCTACTTGAGCATAGAAGACAGTAATGAGATCATGCCAAATCTAAATCTAAAATTATCCTCCTTTACACACAGGACAATAATTCACATTCACACATACAGCGTGTTTCTTCCAGATGTATTATGCATGTATGCTCTGTCTTTGGCCATAAGCAACCCCAGAAGCTTCTCGTAAACCCAAATAAACAGGCCGACCCACAAACACAATGAATTACTCATGATTCATTAGCAATTAATGGGCCTCGTTCTGTGCTTTCATTTCCAATTAGGAGTGCTGAGGGGACTAAATATGTCTGTTGTGAGTGAGAGAAAGGGCTTCCAGTCATGGTCTGTTTCTCCGTCTTGTAGCTGCCTGTTTATTGTTTACTCCATCTTTGATATGTGGTGTGTGTTTGTTCAGAAACTGCGGAGATTTCCGTGCATAGATATATTCCTTACAGTCCTTGTTTTTTCTCATGTGAACTTTTCAGGACCTAAAAGCGTAGCCTGACATTTTTGAATGTATCTAATATGTAACTGTTTTTTTTTTTTAAACGAAGTGGCTGTTTGAATTTCTGAGTGTGATTGAACTCGTGTTGATGACTGTGTCTTCCTGTGTACCAGGCCAGCACCGCTCCCTTGGCCCAAGTATCTCCAAAGTGCGGAGCTTGAAGTTGGACAGCAGTATCTGGAGTAATGAGCTAGTGGAAGTACGTACTGTATGTTGTTTTGTACATTATCCAAAGCAGCAAAACATTAACATTACTCCTATTTGGCCATTTTATATTCACTGAAGCTTTTTTGATGCATTACCCCCCCTATCCCTACCAATAGCTTTCCAAATAATTCTCGCCTGTTCCTTGACCCTCAGCTCTTCCTGGAGGTGGGGAACAAGAACGCTAACAGTTTATGGGCTGCTAATCTTCCCTTGGAGGAGGAGCTCTACAGCGGGGCTTCGGCGGAGCAGCGCGCCACGTTCATCCGCAGGAAGTACAGGGAGAGGAAATACCGGAGGGTCCTCGAGGGCTTTGATGACCTGGAACAGCTTAACCAGGTACAACTTTCATGAAGACAGAAATCAGAACACTCAGAATGGATGTATTGGCGTAACATGGTGACATATTCAAATTTTAGTTAATTTGTATTCGTATATTAACACTTTGAGGTGTTCTTGTCATCTATTACCGGCCATTGAGTATCTCTTCTTGACCAGTAACTGTCTAGGTAGGACAAAATACTTTGCCTTATATTCTACAACCACTTTAAGCACTTTTCTAACCAAATGTTTGCTTGCTTCACCACAACAGTAAACTGTATGTGCCTGTCCGGGTTTTCACTGCTTTTCTCTGTAAACAAGTCGAGCAGATGTCGTGCAAGTAGAGTAGATCTACAACTTGCTGACTCCATCACCGCCTTGTCAAGTAATCCTCAGCATTAAAGTCAGGGTTAGTGTTTCATTGACTGTGTCTTTAAGTGTTGTCTCAAACACATTGACTACATCAGTGTATTGACTATTGCCAGAAGTTCTTTTTCATTTTGAGTGCTGCACTCTCAACCTGGAAGCTGTGCTGCATTTCATATCTAGAATACATTTGATGTAATGTGTGCATAAAATTCAATGTGTATACCTGACTGGAAATGTCCAAATATCTGTGGTTATGGGGGCCATTGGAAAGGTATATTGGTTGTGTTTTCTAGGTTTATATCTAAAATATCCATTGCTAGCTATTTTCCCAAGAGTTAGCAGGGTTATGTCACATGGTGACACTATGGTTAGCATAGAATTGGCTAATAACAAACAACCAGCATATCTTTAGATGTACTAGCTTTCCCAAACGACAAAGAACCAGCATGATGTACTATCCGGTGGTTTTCAGCAGTTATATCCTGCTAGCTACATGTATAAAAGAAATAAATCCATTTCAGACCTTTAATATGTTTTTCTACTTCTACTTACCTAACTATTTTTCTATTAAGGTTGGAGCAGAGTTTAGCAGAAGTTCACCAACCATGCAGTGATAAGTGGTTCCTACAATAGTGTCATCTGTACATATAAGAAGCATGGGACATGGCATACTCCATTAGCTAAATCCACTGAACCTGAAAAAACTCATATGTTCCTGACCTTTTGACCATCAGTAAAACTGCACTACAAGTTTAAAAATGCCAAACGGGAAGTTTTCATCGATCTCAAGTGTAAGCAGGTTGGCTGTAAGGCCTTCTCTGCCAGTTTGTGGTTAAGGGTTTATTGCTCTGGCGAAAATGCCTTTTTTTTTTTGGCTTCCGCTTAAAGAGAGGGTCTTAAAAGCACAACGCACTGAGCCTCTAAACGGCTAAGTTTCCACCTGCGTCAGCATTTACGCAGATCAGCTCCCTTGTATTGTTTTCTTGAGTAGAAAGAGAGGGATGGAGATGTAGAGAGAAAGAGGGAATGAGGGGGGAAAGTAAGGAAGAGATAAACTAGCTAGCTAAGTGGAAAAGTGGATTAGGATCCACAACAGAAACGCTTGGGTTGGTTTTATTGCAGCTTTTGCTGGATTTTGCTTGTGTGTATATGTGGGAGTGTGTACATGTGTGTGAACATGCGTGCTTGCTCCACTGAGGATGTGTGAATTTGCAGTTTTTATGCAGGGTAGTGAAAGAGAGGAAGTGTGACAGACACAGAGTGTGGCTGCTTAAAAGGGTTTGGCCAGTGGAGGGGTGTGTGTGTGTGTGTGCATGACAGAAAGAGAGTGAGAAAGAAAGGACA